ATCTATTCAGGTTAGAGACCATGGTGGGAACTTGGGACTATTGTCATCTATTGGCAGGTCTGCTGTTCACATAAAACAGGTAAGACATGAGTTTTGGGACCTGGAGAGAATAGATACTAGCACAGGTTATTGATGCAGAACTGCTAGTTGCTACTTGCTTTAGAACTGGTGCAATGAGACATTTTAATGAGGAAAAATAGAGGGCACTAAAATCACCATGCTGCAAGACGTGAATTTAAAACAATAGAGCAAAAGCATGTCTTTGGTTGTTATTTCTCTGTAACTTGGAAATACATAAATATGGTTACTCTTCCTCTGTTTTATATTCCTTATGCCTGCCTTGAATGGAAGGAACATATTTCAGTGGTTTTTAGATATTTGCCTCCTTTTTCTGTACTTCCAGGTTCTAATTGACTGGATTAATGATGTGCTGGTGGAGGAGAGAATCATTGTCAAACAGCTTGAAGAGGACCTTTACGATGGGCAGGTGCTGCAAAAGCTGCTAGGTGAGTTTACACAAGAGAAGGCAGCCCCAAAGACTGGAAGGGGCCCAAAGTTAACCTCTTCCAAAGCTGCAGACAGCAGCAGGTCTGTGCAGTAACTTACCATCTCACTAGGGATACAGTTTGTTTCACTGATATGTAGAGTGTCAGCTTCTCCGTCTGTTCTTCTCAGACTGTCTGCTGAAAGGGGAGGAAATCCAGATGATTCCCAGTTACCTGTTTCATGGACTGAGTATAGTCCAGACAGCTGAAGTACGTGGCAGAAAAAAGGCGAAGAGATTCGTGTTTACACTGGGGGACCAAACAGAAGCCGTGTGGTCCAGAATTTTGTCTGTATAGTTTGCTTCTGAAAAGCTTTTGGGCTGAGAGCTTTTTTGAGGTCCTGATAGAATTACTTTTAGGGGAAAAAAATGAGAAAAAGAGAATGCATGGCAGCAGGCACATACTCATAATGTGCACTTATGTGTGAGTGATTCATGAAAGGATATGCTCATTTAAGCAATTGTGATTTTGCAACCCCTTTGCATCTTTGCAATATGTGTGTTCAGGCAAGAAGCACAATGGCAAAAACCTTATGATGATGCAGTGATTTATGGGGGTGCTTTTAGCAAACAGAGACGTGAAGCTTCGAGTGCCGTTGTAAATCCACACTGTTTCTTGGAGACAGATAGTCCAACTGCTTTCAGTTTACTTGCGACATGTTTTCAAGAGTGGGTTGGGATGTGGGATGTATGTGTTGGAGTGGGGCAAGAGGACCCAGTGGTGCTAATTCCACTGGTGCTAACGGATGCTACTTACTGAATTTTCTGCATATGCCCCTTAAATAACAGGTCTGCAGTGTTTTGGTGAACATTCACAAGTTTTTAAAATTGGTTAACAACAATTAACTTTGTGTGCAATTAAAACTCCTCAAAAATAACTTGAGGAATAAAATAAGAGTACTTTTAACACTGCTTGGTTAGACAGCAGTTGGGACCCTCCAGACATGGTGGAGAGCATGGGTGTAGATTTAATTTTAGCTGGGGAGTATTTGTGTGAACACGGTTGCACTTCTTAACATATAGCCACTGCTGTTTCGGCAAGTGGTAGCACATTTCACTGTAGCCATTTTGTCATAGGTATCAGTGCTTTCTTACGCTCCCAGTGGAGGCCATGGTTCCACCCTCAGGCCTGCAGACATTTAGGAAGTGTTTAGTTGTACATACGTATATATGTAGCTCAGTTGGACTTAGCATATCTTACAGGAGGAAAGGTGGGCATGTATATCTTGCAGCCTGAGACTTTAACTGGACTGTTTTTTCCTCATTTTATTCCAGTTCCGCCTCCCCTGACCTGAAGCTGTCACAACTCAGCCCCAATCCTGTGTTGTGTTCAGTGGTGTCTTGGTTTCTTCAACAAGACTTGTATTACTAAATCTATGCATCTTCGTCCTGTCTCATTGAAGCAAGAGGCGAAGCGTGTCATGCTTATGGTAGTGCTTCTGATGCTTGAGGCCTCAGAATTAAGTCAGCCCTCTGTTGTGCAAGTCGTCTTTTTTGGTGCCTGCAGGAAAGGGTAACAAAGTATGGTCATTAAACTTCAAGTAGTAGTTATTATTCTTTGTGTGTGAGACGTATTTCAAGAAGATCTGTCTTGATAAGCAGACACAGAAAAAAGATGAAAGACGACAGCTTGTCAGTGTACTTATTTGGAAGCGGTTTGGAGTAAGAGGTTAGCAAATGGCTGACTGATTGAGGTGGAGTTGCTTGTTTAGTTAATTTTATCAAGGTACAAGTAGTGCCACTCAGAGAGGCTGGAGTGGCGTGGTACACATGCTGTCAGGATGAAAGGAAATAAATTTCTGCTTGCTGACTGGCAGCTAACCTGGGCTGAGAAAAGGTAGGAGCCATAACATGTGACCAAAAAAATGAATCTTGTAGTATAACGTTTTAAAAAACATCTAAAATAATTTAAAGTAGTATTTGCATGTTTTGGTAGTCAGTTTAAAAAAGACTGAGAGACAGCTTGGCTAAAGAACATTTTTCCCATTAATAATATTGATAAAAATTTCCTATGACAGATTGATAGAAACAGTCAAGATGTGCAAAGTATTTGTGAGTTGATAACCTGCAAGTTGTTTCTGTTTGGGTTGTTAAAGTACTTTTGTATTTCTGTCACTTTTTAAAAATAGATGACATATATCTTCAGCTAGGTAAAATGTCCAGAAGAAACATACTCTTGAACTTGAGCACAGAAATACTTCTATAATTGATATAGTAGGTTTTGACAACTCTGAAATGTTTCTGAATGAGTCTTTGGAGTTGAAGTCCATCCCATTTTGTGAAAATGGCTTTGGTGAAATATGGTTTTTTTTGTTTTAAAGACTGGAATGATAATAATAATATATAATTGGAATATGTTCAACCAGTCCTGACCTCCTAGTCCCAGCAGCAGAGTGATTATGACCTTTTTTTTTTCCCCAGGGTGTAGAGAGAAAAGAGGTCAGCTGTTCCCATTACTCTGGTAGCTGGAGGATTCTACTGCACCTTCCTCAGCTCTCTTCTTTTTTTTCTTTTCTAGAGAAATTCAGCTCCTGTGTCTTTGGCAAGGGCCACAATGCAGAGGAAGAGAAGAATGACTTGTCTATGACTTTGGCAACAAATAATTGTATTACAGGACCAGAATTCAGATTTTAGTAATGGCATTTTACAAAATTTCCTTCATTAGTTCATTTTTGGAAGTAGTCAACCGTGATGTGACAATGTCATAACAACATAACATGATCGTACCAACTTACTTACTTTAAATTAGTTCCACTAATCCAGTACAAATCTGTGGGTCATATGAGTCTATGACTCTTGATGGTTTGAGAAGGCAAATTACGCTTTAGCTTAAATTCGTACCTTCAGCTAACCTGAAATAAAGCGTATCAAGCTGAAATAAATGTTCACACAATATTTCCCCTTTATTGTCCTCAATTAACTTTTTATTAGAAAAGTCCATTAAACCTGTGCAGATTCCTTGTACAGTGAAGGCTGTGTTGGCCCAAATGCTTTTCAGCAGTGAAAGAAAATGGAGGTATAGTAAATATTATTACTAACTTGGTGCCTGTCTGAAAGTTGTAATATACTTTGACACCTGATTGATGAGCGTGTGCTGCCAGGCCTTACCACTTTTCTATCACAAGTTTTATTGGAATTGACACACTTTGATGAAAGGTTTGCTTTCAGCTATTTTGCTTTCTGAGGAAAATTGTTCTTTTGGAAAATTTCTAGCAGAGTCCAGTTCTGCCCAGTGCTCTGTCCTCGTTATTCCCACCTAGGCCCTTGTTTAATCTGATTTTGCCTGTTCCTTTTGTTGTTCTTTTCTTCAAATACAGAAAAATTGGCTGACCGTAAACTGAACGTGGCAGAAGTGACGCAGTCTGAAATTGGTCAGAAACAAAAGTTGCAGACGGTCCTGGAAGCTGTCCATGATTTACTCCGACCCCATGGCTGGACAATCAAGTGGAACGTTGACTGTAAGGACTCTGTTATGCTTTGTCTCTCAGCTTCACAGGCCAGAAGGGTATGATAATCAAGAGGTTGATCATATTCTCTGTGATGCAGTGTGGTTTTTTAAAATTATTTATTTACTTGCATAGACGTAAGATAGATATATATCTATTCTGTGGTCTTTGTTTAAGGACAGATGTACATGACTATAGCATAATTGAAGTAATTTGTTCCTTTAAGGATATGCTTTCATCACAAAGTTTTTTGTTTGTTTCGTGAATTTGAATCCCTACATATATGAGAAATGTGTTAGTCATTCAGGTACTAGAAGGTGGTCTAATCCTTCGGGCCACCACAGTAAGAAAGTGTAAAAGGATTCTGCATCCTGCTGGAGGATGCAGCTTCTGACAGGCTAAGCAGAAAGTGCCCTCTGTTCAAGCATGGCCTTTTACAATCTGAAAGTGAGAATGGAATTTGAGAAGTCCCTTCACCTAGGTACTGGGTGTGGGGTTCATCTCTTAGAGCCAGGAAAGCTTGTGTTAGCACTTGGAAGTGTGCTAAAAGCAGAATTCTCCTGTATTCTCCAGTACAGTGGAAGGCAAGTAATTGAGGCTGCCTCTCTTCATTGACTAGAGAGGGAGCTGAAGTGTTTGGACTCCTAAGTTAGGCATGTTACTCAAAGGGAAGGCTGAATCTAGTCTTTGCTACCTGTAAAATTATATTATAGGCCTTTTTAATTTAGGAAAAAGAGGAAGAAGGATAAAAAGAAAAAAGGCTGTTTTCCCTAAAGGCATTTTTCACTGCCTTTTTCCTGGCTTTTTCCCAGAGCTGTTTGCTTAAAATAAGACCTCAATATTCTTTTATTTGCTTAATTTTCCTTGTTCCCTGCAGCAATCCATGGCAAGAATCTGATTTCCATTCTTCACCTTCTGGTAGCTTTGGCAATGCATTTCCGGGCTCCCATTCGACTGCCTGAACATGTGTCTGTACAAGTGGTAGTTGTACGGGTGAGTATGAACTCATAAGAGAAATTGGTCACAACAATCATTATTTATCACTCTGATTTTGCAGTACTGGGCTGCTCCCGTCCATTGCCCCCTGATCTCTTGTCATTTAGAAAATTCTTGTCCCAGTTGTTTCATGAGTTCCACTCCTGGGAATACATTTTTGGTGTGCTTAAATGAACATCATATCTTTAGTGTGTTTGGAACCACCATTTGCTACTGCAATATCAAGCTAAAAACACGTGATGGGATTTTGTACAAGACAGAGTCGTGTCTGTAATTTCTGGCGCTTTAGTGGTTTTTTTTGCCATGCATTTTTTGTAGAGAAGCCATTGAAACACAAGCAGCACAGAAAGGAGTTTCAGCACGTAGGATCTCCCTCATCTGGGAAGCCTGTTCCTGATGTTGTTTTTCCCCAATGACTTATTATGCAGACTTAGACATGTTGTTTTCCTTGGCATGCTAATAGACTTTCATCATGTCTTTCACAGCCTTGTGTTTTTGTTAGCTTTCCTTAGATATGGAGAAGAGATATGACCTGAGGAGCCCTGACTTCTTCCCTCCTGCCCTAGATAATGCTCTAGTTATTCCTTTCTCTGCTTGGTGTTGGCCATTTCCTTTCACTCTACAAAGACTCTACGTTCAGAGCATGTGTACTCTCGCTTTTTATCTTGCCTTCTATCCCAGCTGAAGCTCCTGTGGCAGTACACTCTGTAGCATGCAAACCCAGCTTTTCTCAACAGCTGTTGAAACACCAGGCAGAGCTGTTCCAGCTGGCACTCTGATCATGCCGTGACTGTTTGCTGTGGTGCGCAGTGCTGTTGTTGTAAGGCAGGCTTGGCTGCTGGCAGCAGGCTGTGGAAGTGCTTTCTATATGTTCCATTTGCTGTTAGAGCTGTCAGGCTGTAGTAGGTTTCGTTTCAAGAATAAAGAAGATAAAGTGATCTCAGACTCTGTTTTGCAAATGTGATTGCCCTTACAAGATGCGATTGCATGGTGGTTGATGAGGCAAGCCTCATTTTGCTTTACATTTAAATAATGACATTTTCCAGGCTGCCTACCTGAATGCTCTAGAGGTACAGGGTGTGATGTAAATGAGCAATTGATGGATACTCCCTGCTTCACAATAAATGCATGTATTATCTTTAAGAGGTGATTTTGAACTGCCTTCAAGCTGCTGTAGTTCTTTAATTTTAAGAACGGTGAGCTAGGTATAAAGTATCATGAATGTGAATTGGAGACTAATTCCTTTTTAAATTTCTTTTGACAGTCTTGGAAAGGTAAGGACGAAAATGTAAATATAAGGTGGTCAACAGTCCTGTGACACCCTGATGTTAGAAATCTCCTTCTGCCCAGTACAGTGAAGTGTCTTCTGTAACTGATGTAAGACAAAAAACTTAGCTAAAGAGGTAAAGCATCCCTTTCCTTGTCCTTAGTTCAAGCTTCAGGATCCTCCACCTTGGTAGCAGAGGGAAGGCTGTGGAGAAGGTGTTTTCACATCTTTTTCTGTTGGAGTGATACAGAGAAGACACCTACCGAGAGCATCTGGTTCACTAGAATGCCCACATCTTGAGACTAGGCTGAGGTGAAGACAGGATGAGATAAAGGCAGACAGAAACTA